AATGGTAACATATTAACAAATAGTTACGATTAATAAATCACTGAATGAAAAATGAACATAAAGAATTAGCGAGATATTATCAACAGGATAAACGCATAGTGACATATATTGGTTGATAGCTAGTTTAGTTTTTCTGCAATATTAGATTTACGTTAAACTATTTAAGCTATCTGCTAAATGTAAGTTGCATTAAATTCCTTGATTTAAGATCCAAGCCTACATATCAAACAAGTCCCGACGACTCGACAATCTGTGGTTGTCACTTCACCATCAACAACCTATATTGATATGAAGGCTTTCGAGCCTGCTGTGCTTTACGGTTTAACACCAAACATTCAGACAAGTAAGAAATGAAATTGCAAAACAATTCAATAAAAACACGTGATATTTTTGACTGCTATTTATTGGAAATAATGTAAAAGCAGAAAATTTTCAAAATTTTACAGGGTACTGCTTATAATTACGGTAAATAATCTATTAATGAAGGAAATTGAAAAAACCGAATGAAACTGAGCATTGACAAAGCAGGCATAAATTCTGTTTTTCTATTATAGCATATTCTCCAGTACAAGTTCCAATACGAGATGGTAATTCCGATTTGAATGCCAACTCATATTCTAATTATTCCACCAGTTTTCCCGGTTTTACAAATGCGACGACTACACTGCAGGGCGCACAACTTACTTCTGTAGAAAACCCGTCGTCTAGTTTTATCAGCAACGCTCCGCTGCAGTCTACGTTTATGTGTACAAGGTAAAAAAGTGCTTGCTACTTGTTTCTTAGAAGGCTTGCTAAAAGATCCACCTGGAGGAAACAGTCTATTGTACTAATTCGTTGACTTGTTTCACAATAAAAATGTAGTTCTATGGTCTGATGTTTTCATTTGTTTAATTTTTTTTGCAAAAATTATGGATGTAAAAAACTAAGATTAAGGTAACAAAACAAAATTATACAAAATGATAAAGCTGGTGGTACATAGCGCAGTCTAAGATTGCTCCTACAGCAGTATGACAGTGAAACAACAAGACTCACTACACTTGCAGAACGTAAAATTAGAAAGTTGTCTAGTTTTTTTAGGAAATTCTGAGTTTTCAGTAACCGGAACTTTATTCTCTGTTACAGGTACGATCCACCGAGAGTTGGCAGTAATTTCCATCTACCAGAAAATCCTGTTTATTGCCAAAATATCTCTTATTCAACGCAGCTAGTCGAGGATACGATGCCCTTTGATTCCAACACTTACACAGTAGGGAGCTGAATTTATATTACTTACTGTTTATTAATGCTGAAAAGTTGTACGCATAATTAGTAATTTTGAAGAACTTATATTTAAGCATAACAATAGTATTCTAAGTACTTATGGATTTATTTAGCTTTAATGCTAATATTTCATCTTAAAGAAAAGGCACAAGAGAAATGTTTGCTCAACTAACAGATCAACTTTATTAATATTTTATCTCAAAAAGTACACCTGAGAACATGTTAATTAAGAAGGAAAATTTTAGGAGAATTTTTTTGCTTACTATTATGCGACAAATAAAGTT